GGGGATGAAAAGCAAACGCCGTCTGAAGTTAGAGACGCCCACAAAACCCACAAAACAAGGAGAGGGACGGGGAACGCTTCCCAGCCCCAGCACCGGGGGAAGGGGTCCCTCCGGGGAAACAGCGCTTCCCCGCAGAGATCCCCCCCCCCTTCTCCCTCCCCAGCTCCCCGCAGCGCAGGGGACCACCGGCCTGGAGAACCCCCAGCGGGGGCTGCAGGGCGAGACGCGGCGTTTCGTGCGCACGGAATCCGGCTGCCGTTTCCTATCCCATCCTCTCCCTCTCGGCTCATCTTCCGCACTCGCTTAGCATAGCAACAACAAGAAGAAAACAATATATATATATATACTTTTTTTTTTTTAATCGTGACTTTATATTAAAAGATCTCCTCCATCCCTCCCTTCCAGACACAGTGCAGCCAGCAGCCCCAGCGCACACCGCTTTCTTCCCTTCGCTCCCGTGCGCTCAAAGCGGGTTCGGCTATTAAAGGCTGAACAAAGCTCGCCGAGAGCGGCGATCAGCGCGTTTTAACTTCATCAAAGACTTCGGGGAGAGGGAGAGGAGGGGTCTGGCACCTTCCAGTAATGAGCTTGTCAGGAACACCCCCGCCAGAGCAATTGAACAATTTGCGCACAGCAAAAGAAAAAGGAGCCGGGAGGGAGGGAGGAAGGGGAAATGCTACAAAAGCCCCTTCAATTTCCAACCATGTGCTTGGCAATCTGGAAAATAGATTCATTGGCCTCCTCTTTTCTCCCATGTCGAGTCTTGTAGCCCCTTTTGTAGGAGCTGGACATGAAAGGGAGACAACCAAGTGCCGGACACGAAGATCGCTTTTCAAAAGCAAATGTGTGTGAAGCGGAGATGTGAGACCGCTCGCTGCGGGGAGGCGGCACGTTCGGGAACAACATCAACAAACCGCGCCGAGATTCGGGGTGGCACACAGAGAGGGAAGAGAGGAGGGGAGGAACGGAGGGGGGATGGACGGGGGGGAAGAGAAAAAGGACCGCCGCCCCCCGGCGCTGCCGCACAAAGCCCCGCACCGCGCACCGCGGAGGGCAGAAAGGCCCCGAGTGCTTAAATCCGCGTCCCCACCGCCAAACAAACCGAGCGGCCGCCTTTGGTCCCTGTCAATAAATTGGGGAGCGGGGCGGGGGAGAAGGGAAAACTTGGAGATGTTTATTTACTCGCTGAGTTGTTGCAAAATTTCGGCGGTGATCGAGTTTCATGCGGTCATTCAAACGCTGCGGGCCCAAAGGGACGTGTGTGCTTTGGGGGGGGTAGGGGGTGGGGGGGAGAGGGAAGAGAAGCTTCCAACTTATTTTCTCATGTGTCAACTTTTCCAATCAAAATAAAGGGAAGAGGGGTCGGGGGGGAGTAGGGGTAGAGAGGAAGGGTTGGAGGCTCCACGGTTGGAGCGGGTTACCAAAAAAGCGAGCGAAGAAACGAAAAGAAAACACAAGGAAAAAAAAAATCGAAGAGGAGAATGGAAGCGGCTTTCCCGTCCTCCAGACCCAGAGCGGGGACCACCTCGCGGCCGCTATAGGGACGAAGAGGGAGGGGGGGGTTAGGTTAGGGGGGAGGTTGGCCCGGAGGGACGGCAGCAACAGCCGCGACGGCTTCGGACGGCGAACGGACCCGCGGCTGTGGGCGCACCGCGCATCGCCGACGGTGGGATCGCTGCGCTCCCCCCGAGGCCCGAACGGGGCTCCGTGACAAAGGACATCGCAAAGAACCATCGGCATTTTGCTTTTTGTTGTTTGGATGTTGGTTTTTTTTTTCTCTCTCTCTCTCTCTCTCTTTTTTTTTTCCCTTCTCCTTTTAAAACCAGGTCACAAACATTTATTAATTTACACCAACGTGTGGACCAAAAAAAAAAAAAAAAAAAAAAAAAAAGCCGTCGCCCCTTTTGTTTTTTTTTTTTTCCCCCACATCGAAACGATTCACAGATTCTCTCTCAATAAAATAGATATGATGGATGCACAACCAGCGAGGAGTCCGCTCATCAGTTCCCGAATAATCTATATACAAATAATTACCGATACACCAAAAACCCACGCAAGGATGGGGTCGGAAAAGGGGGAGCGAAAAAACGGGGTGGGAATCTCCGAACTTCGAGACGGATCGGATCTGCTTTCAACGTACATTTGAACGTCCCATTGAAAAAAATATATATAGCAATAATAATAATAATAATAATAATAATTAAACCGCAGTCCTGAGTTTCACCGACTTCTCTTCTTCTTCAACACATACCCTAAAGCGGTGCCTTTTAAAGCCAAACCCAAAGCTTCGAAGAAAATAAAGAGTGGACGGGGCCGTTGAAACATTTTATCTGAGAGAAGGGGAAAAGTGAACACACACCGGGAGCGCGCACAACCCGAACCCCCCCCCCCGCATTCTCTGCTGTGATTTTCGGACACCCGAACCTCTCAGAGAAAATATTTCGGACCCTCAGACCCTTCTCTGCCCCCCCGTCCCCCACAAACGTTGGTTATGTTATGGCCGCATTATAAATAAGCTTTGGTGCTGGCGGGGTGAAATGTGGTTATTTCCCCCCCCCCCCCCCCCCCCCATAATAATTTTTTTTTTTTTTTTTTTTTTTTTCTTTTTCCAAGAAAGACAAAAAAAAGCGGGTGCGCCCAGACCGCGGGAAAAAAAAAAAAAAAAAAAAAAAAAAAAAAAATTCCTACCTTAAAACACAACGGGAGGAGACTGAGGGGAGGAAGAGGAGAGCGGGGAGAGGGAAGGGGAGATCTGGAGGAGAGCTGGGAAGGGGCAGTTTGGTTCGCGACTCTCCCCTCCACCCCTCCACCCCGCACCCCTTCTCCTTTTCCCTCTCCTCTCCGCAGCACGCTTTAAAAATGACAGCTGCCCACGTTTGTGATTTTAGCGGAAAAGTTCTGCGAGGGCTGCAGGAGCGGCTCGTGGGCCAGGCCGCCGTGGGGCTGCGATGGGGCCAAGGCGGGGCTGAGCACGGCCAGGAGCTGCGCCGGGGGGCCCGCCTGGCCCGAGGGGTAGGGCGCAGCGGGCGCGGCGCTGGGGTTGGTGCTGGGCGGCGGGGGCACGGCCCCCCCGATGATGTTGTCTATGGAAAAAGAGGGCCGGGAGGGGTTGGTGGTGGTGGTGGTGCCTCCGCTGCCCGCGGGCGTGGGGTCCGGCTTGAGGGTCTGGAGGAGGGCGGCGGGGAGGGCCGTAGGGCTGAGCTGGGGGTGGTAGAAGGACTTCCTGCAGTTCAGCTCGCCGCCCAGGAACGAGGGCAGCCCGGAGGCGGCCGAGAAGACGGAGGCGGCGGAGGGAGGCGGCGGAGCCGGTAACGGGCAGTGAGGCGCCGAGAAGGGGAAAGCGCCCGCGGAGCCGCCGCCGGCGGGATGGTGGTGGTGGTGGTGGTGCGGGGGGGCCGGGGGGTAGCCCTGCAGCTGCAGGCCGTAGTTGTAGCCGTAGGGTCCGTAGGCGAAGCCGGGCAGGAAGGCGGCGGGATCGGCGGCCCCGGCCCGCAGCAGCAGCTCGGGGTGCGGCGGGTGCAGCTGCTGCTGCCGCTTGAAGCGCTTCCTCCGGCGCAGGAAGCTGCCGTTGTCGAACATGTCGGCGGACTCGGGGTCCAGCGTCCAGTAGTTGCCCTTGCCCGGGTTGCCGGGCTCCCGGGGGATCTTGACGAAGCAGTCGTTGAGGGAGAGGTTGTGGCGGATGCTGTTCTGCCACGCGGGGAACTTCTCCCGGTAGTAGGGGAAGCGGCCGCTGATGAACTCGCAGATCTCGCTCAGCGTCAGCCGCTTCTTGGGGCTCTGCAGGATGGCCATGGTGATGAGAGCGATGTAGGAGTAGGGCGGCTTCACCAGCGGGTTCTTTCCCCCGCCGCCTCCGCCGCCGCCGCCCGCGGGCGGCTTTTCCCCGGGCGCGGCCCCGCGGGTGCACGCGGGCTCCGAGCCGCCGGCGGGGGAGAGCCGCTCCGGAGACCCCCCCATGCGCGCCTTGGCGGCCCCGCTCCGCTGCAGGGAGAGCCCCAGCGGCCCGCCGCCCTCCTCCTCGTCGTCCTCTTCGTCGTCGTCGTCGTCCTCCTCGTCCTCGCTGTATTTCCCCCCGTCCTGGGGCGGGCCCACCACGTCGATATCCGCGTCCTCCACCTCGGAGAGCGGTTCTTCCTCCGGGGAGCGCTCGGACATGATCCCGCAGCCGCCTCCGCCGCTGCTGCCCAAAGTCATTGTTGTGCGGCCGGGGCGGCCGGGGCCGGGCTCCCCCCCCCACCTAGCGGCGGTTCCCGGGATGGGCCCGGGGCCGCGCCGTGTCGGAGGGGCTGCGGCCGCCGCTGGGACTCCGCGGCCCGGAGCCGCCGCTCCGCGCCCCGTTCGCTGCTGGCGGAGCCTCGGCGGGGCTGCGGGGTGGTGGCTGCGGAGGGAGGGGCGGCGGAGGGGGCGCGGGGCGGGGGCGGAGAGACGGGGAGCGCGGAGGCTGGGCAGGGAGCTGGAGAGCGGCAGTGACAAATAATAGTAATAATGATAATAAAAGGAAGAGAGGAGGGGGGATAAAAATATATCTCTGATGCTGGGGGTGCGGCGGATGCTTTGGGGGGGGACGGGGAGGGACGGGGGAAGAAGGAGGGGGGAGGGCAGGGGTGGAAGGCGCTCCCCCCCTCCCCACCCCTCCCGAGCTGGGACCAGGGGCCAACGCTTCCACTCTGCGCCTCCTGCGAGCGCTCCTCGGGCCTTTATACGGCCGTCCCGGCGTCACGTGGAGCCCACCGCAGTCCCACCGGGGACCGAGAGGGGCTCCCAGCCCTGCACGGGTCCCCTCGGCGATGCTTTCGAGGAAAGGTGCTGCCCGCTCCGCTAAGTCTTCCTTTTCCCCCCTCCCCCGGTGACGGCTGCAGGGAGCCCTCTGCCCGCAGGGGCCGAGCCCTCAGACCTCCCGCTGTGTGTGTGCCGGGGAGGGGAAAGCGGTGATTTTGGGGTGCTAGTTCCCCTCTTCTCCGCGTGCTCACGTCACCGACACGTCACCGAGAGACAGCACCCTGCCTGGAAAGCCGCCTTCCTGAGGGCTCCCGCAGGGCCGCTGCCACCCGGCAGGTGCAAGGAGCGGAGCTGGGATGTGTGGCGACTCAGCTCCCCCCTCCCAAAGCCGCAGATCCTTCCCCCTTCCCAGGGCAAAGCGTTGTGGCTACCCCGGCGCGGGGCTGGGGACACGGACGGGACCACCGCATTTTCCCCGTCTGTACTGCGAGCCGCGCTCACACGGGTTTTCCTTTCGAGCTTCTGCGCTCCCGAGGGCTCCCCCTCCCCCGGGAGGTGGGATGCCGGGCTGAGAGGAAGGGGATAGTGGTAATAGGATGCACCAAAATTCTTCGGGTATCACTCGGGAGCCCGAGGGGTCCGGGATCCCCTGTTTCACCAACTGCAATTTCAGCCCTCGCATCCGGGGGGCTGGCGATGCCCCCCTCCAAAAGCTGCGCTCAGCAGTGTGAGAATCTGTGGTGATGGATTGCCGCTCGCTGCTGTTAACAGGTGCGAGCATTTGGTGATAAAATCTCCAGCACTAATACCGGGGAGCCGGGCCAAACAGCTGCGCGGCCCCGCTTCCAAATGCCGCTCACAATAATTACTCAAATCCTAACGATCAAACCCTAACGACTCCGTGCGCCGGGTCGGTACCGGCTGGGTACCGCGTTCACGCACGGAGCCGAGCGCATCCTCCGCCGTCGCAGTCAGCGCTGCGCTCGGGAAGGTTTCATCGAACGGAAGGAAAAGTCGGTGCAGAACGGCGCTGCTCCCGAAGGTGGGAGTGTGTCCTGAGAGAGCTTTTCTGGGTTCTTTCGCTTTTAAAATCGCTCTAACGCTGCTTTTAGCAACTTAAACTCGCCCCTCTCCTACATGTACGTAAGTACATCGATGATCATTCTCCCCATCTGACGCTGCGAAATGCTTTAGGGATGCGGTATCTCTCCTCCCAGCCCCGCGGAAATGCGGTGGGGAGAACAAATGGAAGGGAGCGGGGAGGGAGGCAAAGGACCCGAGCCCATTTCCATTTTTATTAAGTAAAATAATAGTTATGCCTCCCCTACATAAACGAAAGTGTCATAAAAAATTCCGAAGCAGCTGCCAGAGATTTCGACCACACACACAACGGGCGATTGAATTTCCACTCGGTGCGATCCGGGGCAGAAAGGAACCGCCGGGTGCTGCGCGTTGTTACTCTGCTGGGGAGGGCTGTGAACGGCGAAACGAGAGGGGACGGCGGGACAGAGAGCACCGGGCACAGTGGGCAGCGGGCACAGTGGGCACCGCCATCCCCGTGGCTCTCGGCTGCCCCCAGAGCGCCGCGCCCCGAGTTTGGCATCGCCTGCAAAAACGGCGGAGGAGCCCCGGTGCTTCTTCGCTTTTACCACGCAACATCGACTGCGGAAACCAAATTAAAACGAGAAAAAGTACCTAAAAGGCAGCCGTCCTGAAATTAGGAAAGGGAAAGCCTGGGCTGATACGAAGCAACCGCTGGGATCCCGGGCACCCACCCGGCCCTATGGGCGCTCCTTGCGCCGTGTTCGGAACGCTGCGGTCTCCCGAAATAGCGACCCTACAGATCGACCCCCAAAGGTCGTCAGTGTGCACGCGTACAGCGGTGGGGGGGATGCCTTACGCCTTATGCCTTCTTTTCCTTCGGCAGATTATTAATTTTCTCTGCTCTCCTCTCCGAAATATTTCGTGACGGATGGCCTTTCCTATCTCCTGTTTTAATCCCAATTCCCTCTCATCTCACGTTAAGCTGTGCTATCAGAAGCGCCTGGGGCCGAAAGCTGCCCGGTCCCTAAATCTCAATAGGGAAACTGGAGTAGCCGAAATGCGCCGAACAGCGTTTATTTTCTCCTCTTAATGGACTTTCACTGTCTTTCCTTCCTGCCCTAACGCAGCCCCGTGGGCAGGTGGTTCCCCGCAGTGTCCCCGGGGCTCCCGGTCCC